GCGGCTCGGAAGAAAAATTCGTCCGTTTTTCTTCAAGAGAGCGTTGTCGCCTTTCTACCTCTCAAACGCCAAGCGTCCAAATTTGACCGCTTCTATGTATTCCGTCAAAATTCAAGACATCAAATGCACCCACCCACAGCACTTTAACCCATCAACACTTATGTTTATAGACTACTTTTCTATGAAGAACTTTGGCATTATAGAATCAATGTGTAATTTTCTATCCTCTAGTGGAAAAAAAGTCGGTTTATATATATTTATTTATAATCTACGTTCATTTTGTAGGCCATTTTCGTGTGAATGTTATTGTGTTGTATTTTTGATTTTTCTAGTATTTTAGTATAGTGTTTTATTATAAAATTGTAATGAAAGTTTTTGTGTGAATATAATTTATCTTTTTACGTACCTAATTCGAGTAATATTTATAGAAATAATTGTGATTTTCACGCTGCCGACATCCGCTTGGTATATTTTTTTGTTATCAAACTACAATAAAATCTTTTTGTAATGAAGTAAAACCTGACTTTTATTTTAGACCACAGCATATAGAATTTTGTATAGATTTTGCATAAGTTTCTTCATAGAAAAGTAGTCTCGAAATATAATTTTTAATGGTTTAAAGTGCTGTGTGTGGGTGCGCATGCGACTGCATGGAATTTTTTATAGGGATTGAAGGGTTAAAGAAAAATACACCGCAATTCTGTACCACGCCTCCAGAGTAGTGCACCCATGGAAAACGGAATCAAAGAGCTTCTGAAGGACTTCAAGAACTTATTTTCTACCAGCTTTCAGGGGCTCGCCTTGCATTTTATAAGTTGGTCGACTATTTCTCGTTAACTTATTAATTCTACTTAGCCGTGATAATTCCTTTAAACTTCATTATATGTATATACTACTATCATTTTATACTTCTCACATTTCAAAACATAGCGGTATAGTTGGTGAAGGGGAGGGGGACACGTGACTCTAATGAAAAATACCAATTTTATATACCAGCTAAATATTTCGCAAACGGACCCCTGAATCGAAAAGATGTTGTACCATACTTCCAGTATTTCTGAAAGACCTATCCAACGATAACCCACACGATAGAATAGGGTGGTAAAATTTTTTCTCCTTCTGTATGAGAGAGGTACCCAAAATAATAAATAAATAATTTAATTTCACAGTTTTATAGGCATGATTAATATCTATAATTATGCCAGATTACATATTACATAGTATCTCTGAGTAAACCCGCGGACGGACGGACATGGAGAGACTATAAGGGTCCATTATCGTGTTACTACCGAACCCTAAAAATCATTCTAATCTATTCTATTCTAATCTCGCTTAGTCTGACTGACTGAATAAAGCCAGAAAAGACTTGCTTTTGGATCATTACTCACACTCGTGTGTGGCTCCAAGGTTCCCTGCCGGCACCAAAGTCATAAGTAACTGCAAATTTAGGTCAAAGCACATCGGCGGAACTGGCGAGAAACTGGTAAGCTATCTTAGTTTTAGTATCTCGCTAATGCTGTCCAAGACAACTTTCCTGCACAGGGATAATGACTCACTTATCCCATGCCGCACAGTAGAAAGCCGATCTTTATACTCGGCTCTTTGTGTCTATCTAGACTCCCGATAACAGGAAGAAAACACCGCCGACCATGCCGCAGTATAATTGCTCCATAACGGATGTGCGTTTTACGGAACGCTTACTGTGCTAAGCACTCTTCCCCTGGACGTGTACATGTCGAGTGGGACTGATCGAGTCTCTTCTATTGTGCTGAAGGCGTGTGTTTCGGAGTTGGCACCAGTAACGCGTCTTTTGAGTACTCCTACTCCTACTCCTTAGCTGCGTAGTGCCGCATCCAAAACAGATAGCTTTAGCTCACCCGATTCTTAAAAATGTGAATGTAGGCCTATAATTGGATGGGTCTGATGAGTTCAACTATCGCCATCACCTCCTTGTTCACCAAAATAATGGAATTTATTATAAACTGTCAGCTCATGTCATGAGATACTTCAAGGATTACCAGTTGATTAGTGACCGACAATACGCTTTCCGTCGGGGTTGTTAAGGTGTTTTTTTTCTATAAGCTTCCTAAGAAATGATACAATAGGATCACCAGTTTTCTTACAGATCGAAGTATCAAGGTCGTGATAGATAGTTCATGATCCGACTACAAGCATATTATTGATCGACTGTGGCTACGTGCTACTCACCGCTACTCATTTACGCAGTTTCTTTTCATTATGACGGCGCATTCGACACAAAGTTATGAAAATATCACAAAAGTATTGTTTTGAACAATTAACCTCTCAAACCCCTAGCGGGCTCATGGGACCGCACCCACCCACAATACTTTAAACCATAAAAACATATTTAGAGACTACTTTTCTATGAAGAAGTATGACATTATAGGCTTAATGTGAAATTTCCTATCTTCTAATGCAATAAAAAGTAGTTAGTTTATGGTTTTTTATTTATAATCTACGTTCATTTCGTACGCCTATTTCGTGTAGCGTGTTATTGTGTTAATTTTTGGATTTTTCTAATGTTTTATTGGTGTTTAGTACAGTGTTTTAATAAAAAATTGTTATAAAAGTTTTTGTGTATATAATTTATCTTTTTACGCAAATAATTTCGAGTAATAACCCTCAAATTTGGGGATGGAATTACAGCTCCCGTAGTAGTTACATAACTTCGCTATGTGGATTCAAAGTGCCGCCGTTCGATGGGACTTCTTCATGGTCAGCCTACAAAATCCAGTTCGAGGCTATCATAGCGAACGGCGGGAATAAAAGTCAGTCCATGACTGCTTGAGAGCTAGGCCTACGAGACCAGGCCTTAACTGTTCTGGAAGCTCTCGGTAAGTAAGTGACTTACAAGCAGCTCCTTGAGGCATTGGAGGTTAGATATGGCGACGCTCACCTGGATTACGTATTTCGTGGGCAGCTTAACGATCGCGTGCAACGCAGCAATGAAAACCTGCAGCAATGGACCCTTGAGGTGGTTAAGCTGGTTCGAAAAGCATACCGGTGTGTACCTGCGCTCATTGAAGCGAATCTGGTGAAGACATTCATTGACGGCATCCGCGACTTTAAAGTTAGAGCTTCTGTGAGGCTTAGGCACCACGAGACGCTTAAGCATGCCATGGCCCATGCACTCGAGGTGGAAGCCGTGCGGCAGGATAATCGTTCCCATCGCGTTAGGAAGTTTGCAGCAGCTACAGTTTACGACCGCAATAAAATATACAGCTGAAGAATGCAAGCATTGTACTAGGCAAGAGGGAAAGGAAGTGGTATCTGTAAGAATGCTCAGGACAGACCACCTCAGCAACGAGTGGAAGGACAACCTACAACATGCACAGCAGGAAGATTCGGCCATCTAGCTAATCCAAAGCAAGGCCGATTCTGGAATGGATCAAGGCCCGTGCACTCAAGCCAAAGTGGAGCGACGTCTCAGCGATGAGTTCGAACACGAAAAGCTATTGGACCCAATGGGACAGCTTGCTGATTCAATATGGAGTTTTTACCCTAAATGGGAAAGTGGTTGAGGAAACAGCTGTCATTTGCAAATGGTTGTCCCTAAAGCTAAAGTGCAGGATGTTCTAAAGTTGTACCATAGTGGTTGTTCAGGAGTCCATCTGGGAGTTAAAAGAATTCTACTGAAGATCCGAGAAGGGTTTTACTGGGACCACTATCGTGACGATGTCAAGGATTGGTGTCGCAAATGTACAAGTTTTGAGGCTGTGAAGGGATCTCAGAGTCGTAGTAAAATAAGATTGTACAATGTTGTTGCACCATGGAAGAGGATAGCCCTTGACGTTGCGAGGCCGTTTCCGGAAAGTGAAAGTGGTAACAAATATTTCATGGTTCTGATGGATTACTTCACTAAATGGCTAGAAGTCTTCGCCATTCCAAATCAAGAAGCTTCAACAGTTGCAGATAAACTAGTTCGTGAATGACTTGCGGAAGAAAAAGAATGGTATTTATGAGCACGTCAGACAATCGAGTCAACAATGTCTGACGAAATGAAAACCCGGCAAAATGAACAACAAAGCAAGCAGCAAAGCAGAAAAGGGAAATCTCCTAAGCTTCAAGCTAAATGGGACGGCCGTACCGGATTGTGACAAGGACTGATTACGTAGCCTACCGGATACAGAAAGGCGCAAGAGGTACTCCTAAGATCGTCAGTGTGGATCGATTGGCGCGTTATTATGGGACCAATAATACTCGGGACGATCATGTCTTACGAGAGGGCAGTGTTGCGCGCCACAATCGTTGTCCGGTACATGGCCACTAGCGCCATCTAGTATCGAGTAGCAGAACTAAGAGAGCTTTCTAGGAAATTCAATACCAGAACTTTCTACACCTAGTTTGTGGGGACCGGTATGTACTTGAACATTCTAGATGTTTCAGTAGAAGAGTCCCCTATATAGGGCCGGTAAGGACAGCGACCGGGTCAGTATTGAATTGGCCATTCAGCGACCCGAATCGTCGATGACCGAGTTCTTTCTTATTGGCTCGATTCACTGATACTACGAAGAGATGTTGCATTCCTTAGTATTTTCTACCGCATTTATCACCTCACTGCATCCTCTATCGCCTCTTGCGACAGCCACTAGATAACTTGGGGTAGTGGATATCGTTACACCTCCAATACACAGTTAGTAGGTAATATATTTTCAGTAAACCTACGTCAAAAGTTCAAAGTGTACTTTACTGCAACGTATGGAATATCTTTCCAACTGTGGGTATGTTTCACGAGCAGCTTCGACTAATAGTGACAAGCCGATAAGATAATAAAAAGTGAACATAGGCGTAATTTTTACATCCACTTTTATAACGAAATTACTTTATTTTAAAAGATATCTATCTATATGCAATAAGATCAAATCCAAATTTCCATTAATCAGAAAAAAAACCCTCTGTAAATTACTGAAACTCTTTCTACAATGCGTACACCGTAGAATAGGTACCAAAATATCGATAAATTACACATAAATAAATACCTTCGCGCACGAGAAGTTGGCGGAGGAACACCTAGTGCGATGCCTACTGCGAAGTAGGGAAATCTAAAAGTAAAATTTAATATAATTAATAGAATCAGGCGTTACTCTGTGGAAACCCATTATAATATTGAAGTTATTAATTTTTTTTAAATTAATTTGCCTTTATCCGGGTAATAAAATAAAATAATAGGATAGGTAAGACCAGTTTAAAGAGCACCTCCCGCCCTCCCTCAATTGCGTGCACTATCCCCGTCACCACTAATCTCAGCACCACTACGTCCCCTACGATCACTACCACTACGACCGGCTAACAGCGGTAAATCCATCCGAAACAATAAACCTAAACTTCTCAGACTGGTAATGATAGCAGCATCGAAATGAGTGTATCGATTCCGTGCTCACCAACCCGGCTACTCATCATGAAACTTCCAGGTAATGTATCCCGGATGGAGCATTTTTAGAAATGAAATAGTCCAGCAATGGATTTAAGAAGGCTAATAATGATTAAAGAACAACAGGCATCTGGCAACTGTTATACTTTTACTACTATTGTAACATTGACAATCGATTGCATAGCACCAGGGTTTTGAATACTTTACCACTGCATCGCAGGTCCTTTGTTCGAAAACCAACCGAAGGGTTTAGTTGTGCTGTAAGTCCAAGGTCGTAGAAGTCACACGGCATCTAAGCCTACCTTCCATATTATCACATAAGTACTACATCGACACAAATTGCACAGATTGGAGGGTATAAAGTGCAGAACGCATATATTTAGGTCTTATGTATGCTTAGTACGACCAAGTGCTTGTGTATTATCGCTTAATTTGTGGCACTATAATGGCTCATGCGTTTAGGGCTTGCAAGCTTCGGACAGTATTTGAAAATTTTCCATAGACATCAGACAATGTTAGACATTTACAGTTTAAAGGAGATGTTCTACATAAAGGAAACAGACCGAAGAGCCTGAGGCGCGGTTGGTCGTTCACGTGGTGGGTAACGCAGGAGCGCTGCGAATAAGGCAAGCGCGGGCGGGGACGCGCTTGGTACCACGCGTGCTAGTGGCACTCCACTGCTCACAGGAAAACGAAACCGAAGAGTTTCCGCCAACGCGTAGCCTTCTGGCCACTCCTCGCGATCCGGCGTGCCGAGCACAGCACAAATCTTATACAGTTGATCGATCTCAGAATTGCCCGGGAATAGAGGTCGACACGTGTAAAGCTCTGCCGCGATGCAACCGAGAGCCCACAGGTCTATCGGTGCTCCGTAATGCGTGTCGTGTAACAACACCTCAGGCGCGCGATACCAGCGCGTAGACACATAATCAGTATATGGCGGCCGCGAGCGCACCTCTCTAGCGAGCCCCAGATCTGCAATTTTCACTAATTCAGGTCCAGCACATAGTAAATTTTCTGGTTTGAGGTCGCGATGGAAAAAACCATGGCGATGCATGTGAGCGAGTCCTTGCAAAACTTGATACAAAATATTACGTAGCACAGATTCTGGAAAAGGTCGCTCGGCGTCTCTGATTAGTTGATAAAGATTACCACGCATGTATTCAAACACAAAGTACAGGGTGTCGTTTTCACGTATCACTTCGCGTAACTTTACAATATTGGCGTGGTTCAATTTCTTTAACGACTTCACTTCGCGCAAATTCATGGCTTCATCCCATGAGTAATACTTTCGCTTCATACGTTTTATAGCAACCTTCTCGCCTGTGTCACGTCTCTGCGCAAGCACCACAGAGCCATAAGTGCCGTCACCCAGCTGCTGCAGCACTACATAGCGATTCATGTTGAAGGACACAATTCAAGATCTCCACTCTCAGCTTTTATTTTCGCACCTTATGGTTATTACCCCTGAACATGAGCTTACGGTGTGGACATGTCGTTACGTAAAAGATAGTGCAGGAAGCTGACATTTTATATCTGGAAGTCAAAACAGAAAAAATTATAATTTTGCTTATTTACTTTTGCGTACTAATAATTTTGCATAGAATGAATCAAACTAGTTTTTTATGGATTTTATTGCGTTTAATTTATGTCTTTTTATATTCCAGACGTTTCAAGTACTTTATAGAACCCAAAATCACAGAGGGACAGTGGTGGAGTTCAACGTCCTAATGTCAACGTTAAACACGGCTAAATTCAGCAAAATATTATTATTTTTTGGTCCCGATCTATACAACTTATAGTAGGTAACTAGAAGTCTTGCAGTACTTATGCTCAATTTGGGATTAAATTTTATTAATTATAGAACATGGGGTTCTATAATTAATAAAATTGATGTTAGCAGATGTTAGCAATCGGTCATCTTCTCTATTGAAATTAGGATTTATTTTTATATTAATGGCCTTGTGAATCATCCTTGGTAGGAATCTGTGTACTTTTGTGAGAATTTGTGGTGTATGAAATCTGTGTGTGTGTGTATCATATGAAGGGAGCGATCCTGATCATTCAAGCTTACCGGAATCGGAACAAAACTTAGTATTTTAAGCTGAAATTAGTCGTGGTTACCTATAACATCGTGAAGTTGAACCGCTCGGATCCCTCTTTCGATTACATTAGCTTATCTATGACTCCTCCTTTGACCAGTTGCTGTAAATAACTCGAAACATCGAGAGTATAATATAAGTTAATTAAATGCGATAAATTTCGCAAAAAAGAAACTATAGGTTCATTTAATATGTAATATTCGCGAAGGAGAAATGATTAATTTTTGTAATGAAAATATTTCATTGCCATCACGCGACTCTTAATAAATCATCGTTGCAAATTTGAGGAATGTGTTTTTGGTACATATTATGAACTGCTAATGATTTTAATATAAAATATAACTTTACCTGAATAACAACACTTATTTGTAATGAATAAAACAGCTGGTATACTAGGCGCGCAAAACATACTGCAAGAATTTTAATGAATATTTACTACCATTTACGTAGTTTAGACGTTAGGATATTTTTCTGAATTTGTATCGCGTTATTGCTTAATATGCATCAATTATATAAGTATTCACATCTTTAATAATAAAAACCACTAAATAGGTACTTTAAACATAAATAGCATATATTTGTTTAACCCAACTGTTACTATAGCAACATCACAGCCTCGCCCGTCGTCGTCACCAGATAATTATTCAGTTCGGGTATACAAAAAGTACTCTGTGATTATTCACACTTTGGCCATTACCGCCATAGGCGCCATAGCCCGTCACATGGCATCATATTAGATCGTAGACAGAGAAACCTATAGACAAATTGACGCTTTCTTTCGCATTCGCTCACGAAAAAGATAGATTTATGCATACGTCTTGCATAGAAATGAGACAGAGCGGTGTGATAGTTTGTCCCTTTTTCCGTGCTGGTATTTTTGTCAGTTCGTAGTGATCTTAGGAGTTTACAAGTTGGTTTAAGTAAGAAAAAAGTGTTTTGTGAGCTTAACATTGGTGAATCTTGTTCAGTTCAGTTCTTAGAACAATTAAATATTTTATCTAAATATGTTTAAAAGTCATAAAGATTATTGTATAACCTAAAACTACGTTATCGTCCTTTCTCACTCGAGGCCACGCTAATCATTAGTCTATAGGTTTCTCTATCTACGTATTAGATCATATTAGTCTGTGCCCTTCACGGAGGCTATAAGCCTATATTATCTAATTAGGCTGGTAGGTGGTAAATTTTAAATAAGTTATAGTACTTAAAATATAATATTATACTTGAGTGGGTGGGTTAATATAATACTTAAAAAGTAGGTATATAATCTTTTCCTCTACTCGCTAATGACTGTCTCGTTGGTCTAGTGACCGTTAATACGATTGCTGCTCCTGGGTTTGAATCCCGGGTCGGGCCAAAATAAATAATTGCATTTTTCTGAAGCAACTGAATCAGGAAGTTGGCGGTGTTTTACCTCCGTGCATTGGAAAGCATGAAAAGCTGTTGGTTCTGTGCCTGGTCTCTCTCCGGTCGAGTCGGATTGTCGTTCCATCAGATTATGGGACGCAGGGACTATCCCACGCAGATCTGCATTGGGACTGCGAAGTTGGAGGCCGCGAAGGAAAGCACACTTTATTTTATGGTGCGCCTTCCTAAAGAAGGAGAAGAGGAAGAGTTTTTATTTGCCGAAGAGAGGCTGCCATTAGATAGTGTGGCCGCGGCGGGTGAATCCATTCCGTGGCCCAGCCAATTTGCGACGAAAGTGGGACACCATGAGGTTTTAGAAGGTGCGAGTCCAACATAACTCGACCTTGCCCCACGGGACAGGTACGTGTGTACCTGTCCCGTGCGCGAATGTGCGATATGTGTATATCGCGCATTTTTCTAATTAAAAAAAGGCTGTATGATCTAAACCCTTAACCGTCACAACCTCCTAAAGTTCACAACGGAACATAGACCTCCCCCATAGATTGCTTCATAGTGGGGATATTTGTCATAATTGCATAGCATAATTGCCACGCTTGCTAAGCGGTTTGGCAGCCACAGTTTTTTATTTTAAGTCGTTATTAGAAAGACGCTGCTGCTCATCTCAGGAGATGAGCAGCAGCGTCTGATTTGTTTTTCTCTGTCGCCTCTTACGACACCCACGGGATATGTGGTAGTGAATATTCTTAAACCGCCACCACATGGAGTCTTCTAGAACCTTAACCTTCCCATATTTAGCGAATCGTAAGAATTAATAACTTCCTGATACTTAAATTACCACGTCATTGCTGATACTCAATGGGTGCGTTTGGCAGAAAAAAGCGCTAGCAAGCGCTTGTAAGCAAAATGGCGATCGTAAGCGGTAAGCGCTGTCAAATCGTAAGTAGCTATTTTTCTCTAGGACACGATGTTAGTTTTAACTGGGGAACCGAACCTAATTTGAATATATGTTTGTGAAGTATTCATATTAAAAACTTACCAATCATGAATTTTTAATAACATGTATATGTCTATTCATGTCATTATATTACTTAAAACTAATATTGCAAAAAACAACTTATAAACTCTACTTCAAAACAAACAAATTAAATAAGCAAAATGGCGGATTGTGTCAGCGCTACTGAAGTAGCAATCGTGTCCTGGCCGAAAACTATTTTAGCGCTAGTAAGCGCTTGCTAGCGCTTTTTTCTGCCAAACGCACCCAATGACCTAAAAAATCTTGGCCTCTATACTCTATGATCTTGGGTCATTTCAGAATACGGATAAAGATATATTCTTTATTACCTGTGTTGCTGATACTTTATAATTTATGCTCTTTACTCTTTTAGTCTGTGAATTTATGGTGACAAGTAATAACAATTGGCCTAAAGGTCTAGACAGTGTTGCCATATATACAGATTTTCCTGTATTTATACAGATTTTCGGTGTGTGATACTAATTAGCACTGGATACAGATTTTTATACAAAGTTAAAATAGAACGAAGCAAAATAAGTGACTATAGTCGTATTTTTAATTAGACGAAGTCAACTGACGTTTACTGTGTTGTCAGTTTTTGATGAAATAAAAATAGTGTTGTGACAAAGTGAATGATTGAAAAACTCCTGAATTAATGAAATTGCCTCGATTGTCTAGTGAATAGTTAGTGTGCTGAACTGCCGATATCGGGTACGGGGTTCGAATTTTAGTCGTGCTTTTTACATACCAACGAGTTTTCGACGACTATGTTCCTAAAATATCTACCTATACTGAATACCGAGTGTTTTAAACATTAAGGAAAATATTGCGAGGAAACTTGTAAGACTGTCCTATTTTCAATACATCATGTAGTTGAAACTATAGATGTATAAAATATAACAATTATAGGTAGGTAATCAGAATAAAAAAATCGCTTATTACATAATTTGTTTTTATTCATTATCAGATAAAAAATCATCACTATCGCTTTCGGTGACATTAATTAAAAATCTGTCAGTAACATTGTCAATCATGTGGTCGAGACCATACATTTTGTCTTCTTTTTTAATTATATGAGACACGCAGCTATTCCATTTTTCAGGTGTGATATGTTGAAGTCCTTCTTCAAAAAGTTTTTTTACTTCTGTCATTTTGAAGGTTTTGTTATTTCTTGCAACATATCCTTTAGCCTGCGCCCATACCAACTCAATGGGATTGAGCTCACAGTGGTATGGGGGCAGACGTAAAACAATTATCCCATGCTGCGCTGCCATCTCGTCCACAACATACTTATCGCAATGTTCTTGCTTGTGCTGCCGTACAATGTCTAATCTAAATAGCTTTAACCATTGTTGCTTCGAATGAAATATTTTTGCTCGTTAGCCACTCTAGTATTCTAGGTTTAGTCCAAGACATTTTAGGCAGCGATTCTAGTTTCCTGGAGTGGTAGGGGGCATTATCCATCACTACTACGGAATTTGGTTTTAGTTTTGGCAAGACACCCCAAAACCACTTCTCAAAGGAATCGGCATTCATCTCTTGATGATAATCTTCTTTTTTTTTTTTTTGGCTTCAAATATTAATAAGCTGTCTTCTACGAATCCTTCTTCCCCGCCTATATGGCCGATAATTAATCGTTTGCCCTTTCCTGAAGGCTGTTTTAAGCCAGTGGTCAAGCCATCTAGGAAGGCCTGGCGGGACGATAACACTGTCTGGTCAATCCATGCCTTCTTCGGTGCATGACCTTCAAGATAGTGAAAAATATCAATTAATTATTTGAAAGTACAATTTAATGTAAAGAAAACAGAAAATTGTAATTACCTTCGTTGATCCAGGTTTCATCTTGGTAATAAATATACCTTCCTTCCCTTCGATACTCTTTAATTTTTCGAAGGTATCGCTGGCGCCATAGAATAATGT